TCATAATATAACACACGCAAACTCAATTATTATAATCATTAAAAAATTATAACTACAAAATGCACTGACATTCATTGAAGCTGGTCACACTGCCATGTTGTTTGCGAAGAAGCTACGTCACCGAGCTCTGATTGGTGTTTGAGATAGAGTAATGGAGGTTAAAAAATATTGCAACGTTTTTAATTTATATTTCAATGGAGACAAACATTTAAGGTCTCCAAATGTTATTATAGGTTTTAAAATACTGTCTTTAAAATATTAAACATAACTTTATTTGAATTTGTAACATTAGGAAACATCCCCATTAGACCAAAAAGGTGTGGAGTGTATCGCTGATCCTTTTTTTTTGAACGACATTCCGCTATTTGATACGGAATGTCGTCCATTTGTGTGGTCTGTGTTTTCGCTGTGAGGTTAGTCTGTGTGTGTATTGTGCAGAGTGTTTAAACTAGTTATCCTAAGGGTTTTCCTTAGTGATGTATTATGTGTCGTCAGCTCCCTCTGTCGACGACATTCCCCCTGCTGTCAGAGAAGCTGGCGCAGGTCGGTCAAGTGATATCGCTGGAGTTAACGCGAGTTGGCTGTGCGCTCGTTCGCTTCGCGACGCCCGCGCACGCTGAGGCCTGTTATTGTATCCTTTTTGTTATCTGGGGTTTACTTAAATAAACTGGGGTTTATTTAAATAGACTGGGGTTTAGTTAAATAAACTGGGGTTTACTTAAATAAACTGGGTTTAACTTAAATGAACTGGGGTTTATTTAAATACACTGGGGTTTACTTAAATGAACTGGGGTTTACTTAAATAAATTGGGGTTTACATAGCTTTTAATTGGGAAAAAATGATTAGTCAATCTTTGGTAAATAGGGTTGGTACCAATAACACAAAGGGCTTATATCTAAAATGTAAACTTCCAAAATTCAAAATTCCAAAATAATATAATATAGGAGGAGGAGAAAGGAGTTAAATGATCTAGTTGACACAAGTAAATGTTTTTGAATAAATTGACGACTAGGTGACGACGCTATCCAATTTTTGTGTTGTTCTAAATTATTTTTGAAATAACATGAAATACAGTTTTTTTAATGATTAGTATAATAAAATATAATAATTTCTTTAACATTCAATTCAGTACAATACAATAAATTGTTCGTGATGGGAAATACTATAGAAGTGAAGTTTCTGTAACTTAAGGTATGTATTAAGTTATAATTTAGATATACATTAAGTGATATAATCTTTATTGAGATTAATTTAATTTAGATATATTAATTTTATCTTAAAGTATGTTCTTTACATTGCAGGCTGCAACTTACATGGATAATGTTAGAATTAAGTTATCTTAAGTTATTTTAGTTTAGTGTAAGATGAATAAGCTATATCGATAAGTTTGTTTTAATTATATTTGGTTAATGAATTAGTGATATTTCAAATACGAAACTTATTTTTTTAAGTTATTAAAAATAGATTTTTTAATATGAAATTTAAGGCCAAACTTGGAATATATGACGAATTCGCATGTTCCTTTGATTTTTAAAGCATTTTAAGTTCTTTTTACACATTTTTTGATTGAAATTTTATTAAATTAAGTGAGATGTTACGATAGTTAAAAAAGTGATTGTTTTTGTTATTTAAAAAAAATCATCTTAGTGAAGTGTAACTTTATTAAGTAGTATTTTTATACTAAATAATGAAATAAATTATAGCCTAAACTAATTTAAAATCCTGGCTTCAATCGTTTTATTAATTCACTTTTCTAATAGCAAATTAATTAGTTCCTTATAT